GGATTGGTGATGATCACATGAAGTTACAGATTGATTAAACCGGAGTATGATATCTCCTAGGATTTCTTTAACGAGATCTTCGATGTTCAAGAATGACTGATTTACATTTATTTTGAAAGGTAAATTTTTGAAGAGGTTGTTGGATTGTAGTGAAGGTCGCTAGCCTTTTATATCCGTATAAATGACACATAACGTTTATGTTAAGCTATGTGTAAGTTAATGAAAAGATTTATTGAGAATGATAATTTAGTGGTAACATTATAAGCTAGCGTAGGTGGATTTTAGCTTCTGTATCAAAATTTTCAACAAACATAGTAAAGTTTGCTTGTAATAGTTAATTTGAAACTCGAACATATTGTTATTTGCGTTTGTTTTTTATTTTGTATTATTGTGGTGGTTTGGCTTGGAGAAAGTCAAACACACTATTGTCGTAGATCTCTGATTTGTACGATTGCTATTTGATTTATATATACTATAAATATAATAACATAATCATATTTATGAATTATTTTTTATTTTTAAAAATATGTTGTATTATATAGTTTGTGATGTAACCTTGTGTACTTTTCAATTTCTTCACATATATAAATCTTAATAGATTATTAATAATACTTTATAGTTATTTTTAAATATATTATATATTTTAATATCAAAATTATTAAAATTATATATTTAAATGAGGTGATATATATGAAGATGATATGATATTTATTATTGAGTTTATCTATCTTCCATGTTTTTAAAATATTAAAATATAAATATATCAGTATAACTAATTAAATTTACTAGTTTTCTTATTTAATATAAAAATGTGTATGGAAATGTATTTATGATTATAAAAATTGTAACTAATTTGTGATAAAGACATGATGTATTATAAAAACTTTTACAATCAATTTAATGTAGTGTTAATCTAAAGATGTAGGGGAATTTCATAAGAGCTTAAAAGATGTAACAGATTTCACAATTTTAAACTTATGATGATATTTAGTGTTTTATTTTTTTAACTTTAAGAATGGAATAGTATGTAGCAAGTTTTTTTTTACCTAATATATTATTTGTATAAGTTAAGAGAATTTGAAATTAGATCATCTAGCACGAGTGTACGTATGCAAAATAAGCTAATAGATTATATATACTTTGAAAAAGATTATATACATAGTTGTCAAAAAAGAATTTCATAGGTACAAATACAATACATGAAAAAGTGAAGTAATCTCATCCCGAATTCTCAGCAACCGGACTTCGACAGATTGCTACAATTTCATGCCTTCAAATCGTCAAGCGGACGAGAAGAGTTCACCATTCTAGACTGATGGGTTTGTGAAGATTACAATGATTTAGGGTCTGACTGGTTCAAATGCAGCGGTTACGGTTGCGGTTGCGAGAGTTTGCGGATGCGGGTGGTTGCAGTTCTTGTGGTTTTAAGAGATTTGTACGACTGGTACTGCGATTACAAATTGGTGCATTTGCGGGATATTTATGACTGATTAACTACCAAATGCAGTAGCGGTTAAAATATAAATTAAAAATATTTACATTTTGTATTATAAAAAATACCAAAATCATAATATTATAATAAATATAGAAATTATACTTATAAAGTTATAGTTTTAAAATTTTAAAATTATTATTTGTTTTTAGTTTTTTAATAATATTAATTAAAATATCATATATATATTTTAGTATTTTTATAACTCCAATTAAAAAAATTTATTGAATATTTTTATTTTTTGTATTTATATTGTTTTTAAATAAATAAAAAAATCCCCCTCCCGCAACCGCCTGCAATCGCAAATGCTAGTTGAAACTAGCTTTTGAATTTAAGAGATTTAGAGCGGTTTGAAGCGGTTCAGAGCGGTTTGAGTGATTGTTGCAAAACGCCAACAACCGCAACCAACCGCAAAAGCTACGTTTGCGGATGATAGCGGGGAAACCAATCAGACCCTTAGAAGAAGAATGTGATGAACTTCATAGAAGTCTTAATTATAAGTGTAGACCCACAAGCTTTTACAGAAGAGTTGAGCGATTAAAGCAACGAACATGACCACATGTCTTCGAGAAGTTGAGATCAACACTTGTGGAAGTTGGACAATGGCAAACAGAAAAATCGATGTAGCCATTATTCTCGCAATAGCTGGTCCACACATTAACACTAACACCAGAATCTACAGATACAGAGGCAACAACGATCACAGTTATATAAGTCAGATAAAAAATGAAGAATCCAATTCATAAGACATAAACACTTTCTCCTTTCCTTATATGGAAGTCTTTAGTGTCTTGCTTATTTACAACAATACTATAATCAAGCGCAAACTGATGAAGTGAAGAAGAGAAAGAAAAAGAGATTGTCCGAGATTGAAAAAGACAATGAAGATGAACTTAGGTAAAATAAAAGATTCTTATAATTGGACCTAAGAAAATCAGCAAATTATAGAATGCCAAGTGTCATATTTTTCCCCTACGGAGAGAAAAGCCTCTATTTCATTATATAAGATTTTAATTATTATTTTATTATTTCAGTGAACTATGCAAATTTCTAGTCTTGAATTTTAAGTTTTTGATATCATTGGAGACAACTATTTGTCTTGGGCATTAAATGCCGACTTTTCACTTAGTGCAAAGGGACTTGAAGCTACAATCCTAGAGGGAAATCAAAGCTCAAAACCAATATAAAGAAAAGTTATGAGTACATGACGGTGAAAGATCCACAAATCTTTTGGAACAGCTTAAAAAAAGGTACGGCCACCAGAAAACTGCGATTTTACATAAAGCTCGTTATGAATGGACACATATGAGATTACAAGACTTTAAATGTGGAAGTGATTACAACTCAGACTTTTTCAAAATTACTTCAAAGTTGGAGTTATGTGAAGAGAAAATCACGGAAGCTGATAAGCTAGAGAAGACATTCTTTACTTTTCATGCAAATAATGTTGTCATGCAAACATAGTACCGCGAAAAGGGATTTCAGAAGTATTCCCAATTTATATCATGTTTCCGTGTGGCTGAGCAAAACAATGATATTTTTTTTTATGAACATCATGGATTACGTCCAACTGGTTCTTCTCCATTCCCTGAAGTGAATGTAACTGATTAGAACAACACTGGTTGTGGAAATGGCTACACACGTGGCTGTGGTTGTGGACATGGTCATGGATATATATGTGGACGTGGACATGGTAGTTCGAGGCTGAGGATTTTATTTTAAGAACTCTAATTCTCACAAGAAATGGGAAAAGAAAGATGGTAACAAACCATCAAATGAATGTTACCGATGTGGAAGTAAAGACTATTGGGCTCATACGTGCAGTAAACCAAAGCATCTTATTGAAATGTATCAACAATCAGTAAAACAAAAGGGAAAAACTGTGGAAACAAAAATGGTGTCCGAAGGTGGAGAGGGTGACTTTGGTATTGTTGATGCCACTCACCTTGACCTCTCCGATTTTCTCTTTGACGATTGAGAAATAATTATTTAAGAGATGCTTTGTTTTTATTTGTTTATTGGATTTTGGGCTTTACTTACTATGGTGTTGTTTCTTTTGTATTAGTGAATTTAATCAATTATATTATTTTATATGAGATAATAATTTATTTTCTTTATTTATTTAATAGAAATGGATGGTGGAGATTTATGTTTGACCGACAGTGCAACCAGTCAAACAATTCTGAAAAAAAAAAATTCTCATTTAATAAATAGAGAAGCAAGTGTGAGCACTATAACATGCAGTGCAAAGATAATTGAAGGCTCCGGAAGAGCAAATATAATATTTCTTATGGGGACACTACTCGAAATTATTGATGCATTGTATTCCCCTAAGTCTCAAATAAATTTATTGAGTTTTAAAGATATTTATAGAAATGAATATCATATTAAGACAATGAATCAAAAAAATATTGAATTTCTTCATATTACAAGTATTAATCATGGTTCTAAGAAAGTAGCAGAAAGATTACCTGCATTCTCCACTAGATTATATTATGAACTAAAATTAGTACAACTGAAGAAAATTCCATACTAAACCAGAAGTTTACTGAAAACATTATTGTTTGACATGACCGATTAGGTCATCTCATTTCAAAAATGATGTGGAATATACTCACAAATTCATGTTGGCATCCACCAAAGAATCAAAAGTTTCTTCATAATTATTATATATGCTGCTTCTTCACAACGAAATTGATCATAAGGCCTTCACCAGCCAAGATAATTTATGAACCAATCAATTTTCTAAAACGTATTCAAGAAAGACATTTGTGGGCTGATTCATCCACCATATGGAAGCTTTAGATATTTTAGTTCTAATTGACGCATCAACAAAGTGGTCACATATTACTTTGTTAACAACTCACAACCTAGTGTTTGCGAGAATGCTTGCTCAATTGATCAAATTATAAACACAATTTCCAAATTTTCCTCTAAAGACAATTCGTCTAGACAATATTGGTGAATTCATGTCTGGGTTTTTAATGATGTTTGCATGTTTAATAGAATAAGTGTTGAACATCCTGTAGGACATGATGATCACTTATCTCATCTTGAACAGCTCGTCGCCAAACATGTAGAAGGAAAAAGCATATGTACATGTGAGAATATGGCTTGATCTGAACAACAAATCGGCTCCATTTGATGCCCATTTCATATTATAATCTGAGTTTTCTTTGATATTTTCTGACACTGACGTCACCTTCTCAAGATTAATCTCTCTAAATTTATAATCAAGCTTTGATGAATCTGTATGTGGTCTGTATTGGTGATAATAATGTCTATACCTTTCTAAATCCCTTTTGGCTCTCTCCATTCGCTTCACCTGGTCTTCTTTGAACTTACCACAACTATGACCTTCAATAGTAGTGCATGTATGGCTTAGTCCAGTAGCTCCACCACACAACCAACAAAAATGTTGTCCACAAATACACGTTATGATGTTGCATCCATCACTCCTATGAACAGATTTTCTGCATTTAGGACATATCCTAGTGTGCACCGTTATCTAGTTAAGTGTTTCAGACTCTTCTTCATGCATCTTTTTCAATAGGTTCCACACCAAGCAAGCGCAAGGATAGTCAAACTCACATAGACAATTGAAACAAAACTGATGACCACACAAGCATTCAACCTCGACCTCACCACCATCATCTTCTTTTCTTATAGCGTTACCGCAATGGGGCATGCTTGGACACACTTGGGTCGGTGAAAATCTCACCAAAACAAAATTCGGTTTGGTTTAAAAAAAATTACCGAAGTTTTTGGTTTTGCGGCTAATTTGGTTAATTTTTTTTTTTTTTGGTTTAAACCGTATAAAATTCAAAAATTTCGGTTATTTTGGGTTGGATTTTGGTTAATTATGTTAGTTCGGTTCGGAGTTTTGGTTAAAATTAGTACAGTTTGGTTATTTTTTATTTTTTAGAAAACTGAACGAGCTGATTACATAAGCGAACTGAATTGAACCGAACCTTCTAACCAAACTGACTAAAAACCAAATTTTTCGGTTTGGTCCAGTTCGGGTAATAATCGCAATTCATAATACAATCCATATATAAATATACAACCCATTGGACAATTTTATTGTACCACAATTTTATTTTAAAAATCTGATGAAAAAGAAGGTGGTTACAAGAAGGAGAAGAGAGATAGTAACACTCTTGCTTTACAAGACGTAGCTGATAGGGCTTCTGTAAACATTGCTTGCATGGGTTAGTTACCAACTCCCGATTTCCATGGCTGAACTGCTTACATTGCCTATGTGGTTACTCGGTTTGCTTTGTGATACATAAAGACTATTATGGCCAATATAAGCACCAGCATCACACTCTGCATTTCAGGTACACATCAGCTATCCAAACATGAGAAGTTTTTATGGGAAATGGGGTAACATGTAACTTACCATGAGATGGTTTGACTTCATTTCATTATGAACGTAAGATTTTCTGAACGGAAATACAATGATTCGTCAGAACCCATCATAAAAGAAGGATAGTGATCCTTCATCACATTCTAGAAGTAGATATATGTTCGAGACCATTTTATGGTTTTAAGAAAGAATATGTTCGAGACCATTTTATGGATTTAAGAAACAAAGGTGATAAGTCTAGTGCAGCTTTTGATTCAGAGAAACTATTCCTCTTATCATATCAGCACCAAACAGATAATAGGGCATATGTTTGTAAGAAAAGGCGAATTCTTTGGCTGCCATATATGCATGATACAATAGAGAAAAAATATACAAAAGGATAGTAACTAAAGTGTTGGTAACCTAGTGGTAGTGGTGTTGGTTCTGTTGTGTCCAGGGTTTAAACTACCTTTAGTGAGGATAGTTATTGTTTAAATCAGAATATCTAAAGTCTGACTTCAGGTCTCGGAGAAATTATGACCCTAAGGCTCGGAACATCTATTGCTAACAAAAAGAAGACTGTAGGTACCTCTTATGAAGGACACCACTGTCTTTGCACATTTTCTGAACAGCTTCAAGTCGGGTTAGTGTATCCACGGAATTTGGATCGTTAATGTCAACCTATATATTTGACAGGTGTGAATATTTTTGTTGGATTAAATTTAACTTATGTACAGAGAGATGAAGATAATAACACAAAGATTACACATATTTGACATGTGTAAATATTATTTTGGGTTTAATTTAACCTGTACCATAATTTTATCGTCTAATAATAGTACAGAGAGATGAAGGTAATAACAAAAAGATCTACTAGTATACCTTTGTTTTCAACATGCAAGAAAAATCATAGAACGCACGGTAGACATCAGCCATTGTCTTTGTGCGATCCACAACTTTAGCAGTTAGACCTAAACAGAGAAAAGGTTGTCAAACACATTGGTTTTCAGTTGTATTTGTTTTGTTACTTTCTCATACTCAAGATAAACATCTTACCTGGCCTCATTTTCACGACACCTCTAAATAGTTGTGCATTGTTATAGCATAATGCAAGTGTTCCAATCGCCATGATCTGATTGAGGAAATAAATTAAATCAAGATAATATTAACTTCCAATCAAATATTCTCTATCAATTGCAGGAGGTTGAAGACGAGAACCTAATTGTAACAAGTTTTAAAGTAGATAAGAAAAAAAAAACAAGAACACATGTGATTTTCTCTCTCTAACCTGAGGGAGGGCACATAATCGAAATATGGCAGGATCACGCAATGCATCCATGTACTGCATGCAATCTTCAATATGCACCAACGCATTGGTAACCATATCATTCAAGCACTGCACTGACTTGATTGAGTTCTCCTTATATTTTAAGTCCTACAACATTGTGTGGAAAAAGAAGAAGAGAGCATTATTAAATAATAGTCTTACTTTTAGATTGGAGAACTTGAAAATAATATATTAATATGTATGCACCTCGAGCTTGTCAACATATTTGCCCCAAATCTCACAAGGCCAATACATGCGTGGCTTTGGTATCTCATTAATATCCTCAAGATAGTCTCTAATAATGTTTGTTTTCTACATAAAAATTTAGACCAAAATACAAGATTTTTGACATCAGTAACTGTGACCAATATGGGAAGAAAGGTTGTACATGCCGTACAAGATTGTTATACCTGTAGAAATAAACCCATTGAATTGGAGAGCTGCTCCCAGTTTGGAGTCAATACTTCTAATTTCGAAGTGAGGAAGAGTTTTGACAGGCCTAAACCCACAAGTCCGGCAGCATAGTGGCAGTATTCATCATAGTCATCAACAGTTTCTACCTGTTTTATAACAAGGAAAGCTCAGTCAGTAGCCTAACCAAGTGCTGATAGTATATCCAAATCTTAAAATGATGGATCAGTAGTTTTCGTAAGTGCATTAGATTCTTAGGCTGAGCATCTAAGTAAATTTAACTAGGCTAACTGAAACATTTAAGCCCTAGTTAGCTCAAGTCAGCTTGTCACCACAGTAAAAAATGAATCGCATCACCAACCTCCTGGCAAATGAACTTGGCCATTCCTGCACCCATTCTTTTAGTAATATCCTCGACAGCCTCTTGGTACCTTTGTACGTATAAGTAAGAAAATTAACACATAATTAGTACACCAATCAAAAGACTGTAACTACAGGAGCTCTGAAATTGCAAAGACGGAACAGAACATCATAGGGAAAAAATATTTTAGAACTAACCCTTTTCGAAGTTCCTGAAAAGCGGCAGAAACATGGTGAAATTGGTCCATTAAAACCTTGTACTCATTCGTACCACCTAATGGTGAGTAAGTAAAACAAGTTAGCTAAACACTCAGTTATCTATTTAACATGGGAATGTGAAGATCAAAGATTCAAGGAAATTCTTTAGATGACTTGCATGAAAAGTGCCAGTCACGTTCGAATATGTGACGATGGAAAGCTATTAGAACTGGAAGCTTGACGTCAGTTGGTATGCTTGTGTCATCCTCTGTATTATGAAGGAATATATGTATGTAATATGAATAACATTTTTCTAAAAGAACACAAGATTTGTAGATCTTAGAAAAGCGGCATCTAGTTAAGAGACCCTAACCGATGGTATCAAGAGCTCGGAGAATCAAGTAGAACACGCACACCTACACAAAGAAAATTCAAAAAATAAGACCATGTCTAATGTATTTTACATTTTTTTTAAACAGGGTAACTTTATAAAGAGGTGGAGTTTATTCTAATATTAAAAGTAGTTCTATATGTATAGTAAAAATAGAGAGATATTATTTTTTTGTAAATTAATTCAATGAATTAGTAATGAAGTCTTCATTGCCAAAGGTGATAACTAAGAGCATGAGTAACCCCATTCTATTAGTCGTGGTTCTTACTCATGATTTGACATTTTTTTTACACTTTTCGGCTAGGAGACGCCTCTTATATCTTTTATTTAATAGACGATTCTTAGCTTTTCTTAGTTAAAATATAAGAAAACTAAGAACTGTCTCTTAGATAAAGCTAAGAATCTCAATTAAGATATTGTGGTTAATCATGGTCTAAGGTATAAATAAATGGTCCCACATTGGCCATGTCAACCGTATATTGTTTCTTCTCTTAAATATAGAGTAAAAATAGAGTTATCTATTTTATAGAGAGTAATAGAGGTGGTTAGAATAGATTTGACTTTAAATAATATTAGATTTCAATCCGCGCTTTAAAGCGCGGAAAGTTTTACCATTTTCATAAAACTGAATTCAATTTATAACTTATATTAGAAAACAAATAATTTAAAAGTTGTTTTATTAGTATTTAAAAATGTTACATTATAGTATTTTTTTTTTTTTTTAGGTAATATTTGACCAAGTTCCATACTAAATAGATTGACCATATGACCTGTGTATAATTCGGTTTCGATTTAATGAAAAGATTGTTAATTAAAATTTTGATAAAACTTGGTAAAAATCCAAAAACTCGCTATTAATCAGCGATACAATATTGATTGATATGTTAAAAACCAATTTTAAAATGAAAAATTTGATTAAATAAATCATATATTTAATATTATATAAAATTGAATTTTTTCAATTTCTTATACTTTGATGAAAATTTTACTATGTCACTTGAAGAAAATGAAAAATGATAATTGAAAAAAACAAAATTTAATGCTATAAAATTTTTTTTTGTTTTTAATAATATATGATAAATTTTGTTTATTTATTTATTTTAGATCTAATATTTAACTTACATAAAAAAAATTGACACTTGAATTGGTATATTAATACTATGGACAAATGACATAGTAAATAATATATATTTTTAATTTTCATATATATACTCATATTCAATCGTTAAATAATACTATGCATGAAAAATGATATTCAAATTAGTGGAGAATATAGTTTCCATAAAAATTAGAATACTATCATTCAAAAAAATATGGAAAGTTATTAGTTACCATAAATATAGGGAATAATCAGTTGTTTAATTTAAATTAATAATATTAATTGCAAAATTAAATATGAATGACATTCTGTTGTAATTAACTTAAAAACTAATGTGAGAATCCCTATTAGAATTCTGATTTAATAGTATAGATTATAGAAAAAAATATAGGGAGTTAGAGATGATCTTAGAAATTTTAAAATAAAAAGGCTACATGTAAACTATAAAGTATGTACAACCTCACAGGAATAAAGAATTCAAAAGTCATCCATATTTACTCGCACATATATTAATCACTCACAAACCCACTGAATAACACAAGTTACACAAGCATGCAGTAATACGGGCTAAGAGACAAAGATGGAGGGAGAAAGCGTACAGCGTTGCGAAGCTCGGTACCTAGTTGCTGAATAACGAGAGAAAAGCTTTTAGAAACCTTGTGGAGCGTTGAGTAGCAAAATCCCCAGTGTGGCTCAGGTGGGATCTGCTTCTTGGCTTTCTTAACTGCCATTTTCAACTTCAGTAGCGGGTATATTTCATCTGGTTTCTTCACAATCTCACCCAAGATCCCCATTTCTTTTGTAATGAAACAGGATGGAGGATCAGCCCAGACACGCAAACAATCTCAAATCAAAGAAAGCCCCTTTGTGTAGCTACTGTGAAAGGAGGAGAATATGACCACCTGATATATAAAGAGCCGACCGTTGACCGAAGCGAGAGAAGATAATGTATTTTAATGGCAACATTTTGACAAACAAGTATTATTAGCATTAGTGGTTACATAATGGGTTGAAGGTTCGTCGATGCCCATCTGAAGTACTTAGAAATAATTTAAATCAGTTAATATGTTTAGGCCACGTTTTTATATATGCTTCTAGGCATATAATTGTCACGGCCGGCTCTGGATATATTGGGAGCTGTTTTAAAAACCTTCCCGTCTGCGACATCCTCTTAATTGTGTAGTCATTTAAATAATTTTGTACCAATGTCATTTTTTTTTTTTTTTTTGACATCAAACGGCTGATATATTACTCAAGGAACATGAGGTGGTCTGGGAATCCAGACCGGAATAGAACAACCAACGTACACAAGTTTACGATAAAAAGATCTAGCTGTCTTAACTAGAGAATCAGAAACGCGATTCTGTAATCTGGGGACATAAAAAATCTTGAAATCAGGGAAACAGATCTTCAGTGTCTCCAGTTTTTTCAGTTCTGTTGAGAAGTTAGGCAATGCACTAGGATTCTTGAGCATCTCAATCATCTCTTTGCAATCAGTTCCAAAGCTCTGACATGGCGAATGTTGAAGCATATTCTCCATTGCCCACCACAATGCTTCCAACTCTGAATGCAACGCCGATTCCACTCGATCAAAATTGCGCAACCCCATTAAGTTACTGTTTCCGAGGGTATCATTCAAAACCCATCCACAACCACTGAAAGAATCTGTAGAGGTCCAAGAACCATCTACCATGCATATATTACCCAAACTATAAAAAAATGTTTTGGGTTTTTAATTCTAAAATAATCTCTTTTAATTTATTTTCACAAAAAAGAATTTCAAAGTAGAAAATCACCAAAAGAATTTTTTTTGAAGGGAAAATATACTCTTATACTCTTAGAATTAAAAACCCAAAACATTTTTTTATAGTTAAGGGTGAGGTTTTGGGAGAGTTTAAGGTTTAAAATATTCAAAAATAGAAAATAAATATTAAAAATTTCAAAACAATTTTTTTTTAAAATAGTTTCAAAAAGCAGTTTCGAATTTCAAAAAGAAAACGGAAAAAATAAAAAAGTGTTTTAAAAGAATTTCAAAATTTTCATTATAGAAAAAGTGCAATTCTGGAAACATATAATCTGAAATATTAAAAAGTTATATTTATTTCTTTATTTTTATATTTATTTTTATATTTATTATTTAAAAATTTATAAAGAAAAAGGCACAAAAATATTTTATCTTTTGAATGAAATCTCTTTTGGTCATTTTCTTCCTCGAGTGCTATTTTGTGACAATTTGTTTTCTAAAAAATGCCATTTGAGAGAAATGAATTTGTATAAAATAAAAATAACCATAAACCAACTATATCATTTGCCAAGTAATCCAAACAATATTCAAATAAAAATATATCCTTAAGTTTATGACAAGTTTATTGTCAAATACATCCAATGATAAAAAAAATTAACTTAAGACATATTTTTTTTTTTAAAAAAGCATTTGACTATTTTACATTTTTTGACCATTCAAAATTTATTCATGTTTTATCAATCTATCATTTTAAGAAAAAATTAAAATTTGAATATGTCTAAAGATTTTTTTGTTGTAGGAAATATATCATCACCTCATATATATATATATATTAATTAAGAAGTCATGTAAGTGAATTTTATACACATGTTATTCACAGAAAAGCGTACAGAATTTCACTTTTTCTATAATGAAAAATTTGAAATTCTTTTAAAACACTTTTTTTATTTTTTCCGTTTTCTTTTTGAAATTCGAAACTGCTTTTTGAAACTATTTTAAAAAAACTTTTGTTTTGAAATTTTTAATATATATTTGCTATATATTTTCTATTTTTGAATATTTTAAACCTTAAACTCTCCCAAAACCTCACCCTTAACTATAAAAAAATGTTTTGGGTTTTTAATTCTAAGAGTATAAGAGTATATTTTCCCTTCAATAAAAATTCTTTTGGTGATTTTCTACTTTGAAATTCTTTTTGTACTCTTAGAATTAAAAACCCAAAACATTTTTTTATAGTTAAGGGTGAGGTTTTGGGAGAGTTTAAGGTTTAAAATATTCAAAAATAGAAAATAATTATTAAAAATTTCAAAACAATTTTTTTTTAAAATAGTTTCAAAAAGCAGTTTCGAATTTCAAAAAGAAAACGAAAAAATAAAAAAGTGTTTTAAAAGAATTTCAAAATTTTCATTATAGAAAAAGTGCAATTCTGGAAACATATAATCTGAAATATTAAAAAGTTATATTTATTTCTTTATTTTTATATTTATTTATATATTTATTATTTACAAATTTATAAAGAAAAAGGCACAAAAATATTTTATCTTTTGAATGAAATCTCTTTTGGTCATTTTCTTCCTCGAGTGCTATTTTGTGACAATTTGTTTTCTAAAAAATGCCATTTGAGAGAAATGAATTTTTATAAAATAAAAATAACCATAAACCAACTATATCATTTGCCAAGTAATCAAAACAATATTCAAATAAAAATATATCCTTAAGTTTATGACAAGTTTATTGTCAAATACATCCAATGATAAAAAAAATTAACTCAAGACATATTTTTTTTTTAAAAAAAAGCATTTGACTATTTTACATTTTTTGACCATTCAAAATTTATTCATGTTTTATCAATCTATCATTTTAAGAAAAAATTAAAATTTGAATATGTCTAAAGATTTTTTTGTTGTAGGAAATATATCATCACCTCATATATATATATATATATATATATATATATATATATATTAATTAAGAAGTCATGTAAGTGAATTTTATACACATGTTATTCATAGGTGAGTTGTAGGATTAATTTTTATAATTTGATTAGTCTATGTTTTTTTCATTTTTGATTTATTTAATTGGATTCTAAAAACAAAAAATAACCATAAATAAATTTATTTTCCAAATAATCCAAGCAATATTAGGAAACAAATATATCCTTATGTTTATCATAAATATATTTTCAAATGTATACAATAATAAGAAAATAACTTGAAACATCTGATTTAAAAAGAAGCGTTAAATATTTACATTTTTAATCATTCAAAATTTAGTCATGTTTTACAATTTTAATTACAAAGTAAAATTGGAATATTTATAATCATATATATATATATATATTATTTTTTTAAATGACTAAGATTTTACTATATATTAATTGAGAAATCACTTAAGTGTCTTTTGCTTATATGTCACTAATAGGTGGAGTTTCTTAAAAATGTTATGATTTGACTGCTGTTTTAGTAATTATATTTTAATGAGATCTAAAAATAAAATAAAATTTAGAACCAATTAATATAAGTTACCAAAAAACACAAAATTTCTTACAAATAATGATTTATGATAACTAATAGCAGAATTACAGAAAGAAAATATAAGGTTTCATCAATTTGTTTATTTTTGTCTCTTATTTATATACATAATTGTAATGTTTATAAATAATTGTTTGTAAATGGTTATAAATATATTTATAATCATATATATGTATATTTATAAGGATTTATAATTTATATAAATTATATCTCATTTTTACAATATATTCAAAAACAAGTTATTTAAGTAATTTTTGGTTATACGTAAGTTCATAGGTGGAATTAAAAAAAAAAACTGTTACAATCTCCATATTTGATGATTTTAAGATTTTGATTTATTTATACCGATAATAAAGTATAAACTAATTCAAAAATTGATTTTCTGAAATTAGATTTGAATACCTTATTCATATCGTAAAATAGAATTTAATCATTTTTAGTCATATCCAATTTTTGTTTTCCAAATCTTTTAAAAGAAACACATAGAAAATAATTTCAGTTTTTATATTTAAATAAATGGAATACAATCAAACAATCAAGGAAACATAAGTAAAAAAAATTGCAAAGCCGATGTCAGAGTTATAGAAGCCTCCGAAAATATTTTTGGAGATACAAAAAAACACTTATTTCTCTCTTTTGAGGGTTTTGATAATTCTGTGTCCATGTGTTAGAATAAAAGAAAAATGTATTGCTTTAAACAATTATAATAGAATTTATTTTACAAATTAGATTTATGTTGTTCAATTATTTTAAATCTCTTAACTCTTCTAAAATATATATAATGAAATTTTTGATTATCAAACTATTTGAAGATAAAAGTTATGATTTTAATTAGTATTCATAAATTAAAACATTATAAAATATAATATATATTTATTCATAGTATATTACTATCGCAAATTTGCACCTAAACACGTAGTGGCTCATTATAAGAAAAAGAAAATTGTCATTTAAATCATCAATTTTTTAAATTTGATTGAAAAAAGTATCAATTTTTTTGTAAGCCAAAAAACACCTAATTTTTATCGAAAAGCCATTTTAATCATAAAGTTTTATCGACTATACCAATTTAGTCATATTGTTAGTCAACAATTATAGTTGACTAACGATAGATTTAAAATGACTTTCAAAATTGATATTTTTTGTCACAAATATAAATCAATATTTTGCCACAAATATAAATCAATATTTTTTTGGCAAAATACGTCATCTTATATTTTAAAAATTTTGCAGCCCAGTTGTCATGAACTATAATAAACGGATAACCTACGGTTGGAAATAATAAGTTTCCAGACGGTGATAAAATTAGTTCAATAATTAGTAATGGAAGTCTTCATCCCCCAGGGTGACAACTAAGGTACAAATGGTTCCACCCTGGCCTAGAAGGTCAACGAGAGTTAGTGGGAGGTTGATTTGTAAAGATTTGAAGAATTTAAAGATTCTATTGTTATTGGTAATATAATTTTTAAATTTTAAAAAACTCTTGCGTTATTGGTGTGGTGATTTTATAATTCCTTAC